AAAAAAAAAAAAAAAAAAAAAAAAAAAAAAAAAAAAGAAGAGAGCCTACCAAACTATACCACAGCCCACAAAGTTAACGACCGCTCAGCCCAGAACGAATTTTCACTTCCCATATGCTGACGCTCACATGAGCCGAAAACCCATACAACCCACGAACCAATGCAAGTAACTCGACACCAATCCATCATCAACCAATACCACAATGTGCTTACTGACTGCGGCAATCGACAATGACACATCCATATGAATAATACATCCTTTCAAAAAGAATTAACTCAGAAAACGATTGTCTCAGCAAAGAAAAGAAACGAATGAGTGAGGCAAAGGATAGCGGGGGTGGAGAAAAGCAACGCCTTAGTAACTAACCTGTATAGATAAAGACGCCTTGTTCGTCGCAAGTTGCGAACCTGGCCCAAAAAAGAGCCACATGCAGAAAAAAAAAAAAAAAAAACCATCAATGACGGAATCGGACGAACATATTACAGGACCATTTCTCGATTTGTGTGTCATCCTTACTCAGGGCCCATGCAAATCTATATTCTATGTATCGTTCCACAACACGATGACAAAAACATCGTCATCAACAATCAAGATTCTGAGCGATAACGTGGTGAACAGACATGTTAACTAAGGTTAACTCCAAGGTAATCACAAGAATTCGCGAAGACAATCAAGATTTCAACCCGCCGTCACGGACCACGTCAGAGACGAAACTACTCGTCCAACGTCATTTTCTCACAGACGACCAATCCTTCCCGAAATTGCCTGTCAATCTGTGACAGCTTGATGAGAGCTTCATCGCTTGTCGCTTCCTCGCTCGCTCTGAACACCACGCTCATTTCCCTCCCTCCTCTCCCCCCACCCTTCTACCTCTGCATAGCCCTCGCTTCTTTCTCTCACCAATTGCGATCAACGCTCAAATATCGCCCCCCCTTCTTTCCCCTCCCCCTCCCCGGGGAACCCATAGCCTTCGGCTCTCTCTCACCAACCGCGATCCCGTCCGAATCGCCGAGCAAGAAGATTCCAGACCCCGACCTCCTGATCCCGCTGATCATCACCTTTACCCCCCCCTCCGAATAGTACGTCTACGCGCGCGCCATGAATTACAACGTTCACTGCCTCACTCGTTACTGCCTTCTCTGACCCCTGCCCTACGTTTTCCCCGTACCGTACATTCCATGCTATATCGTCAAGGAAATTATCAATAAACACGTCCTTTCACCGAATCATACAGAAGAACAGTAGAACAGGCATGGGAGATACTTGATTCTCCCTAAGGCACCCAACCAACAACTTACTACAACTTTCTGGGAAGGGGATACGAACTGGCGACCTGATGAGGCAAAAACAGAACCAAGGGGAACAAACTCTACTGCAGTGACAAGAACGGGGGATGGCTGCAATACACTGGAAAAAAACAAGTGATAAACTTAACTGGGCATCGCCGACAGAATACTGCCATGCGAACACCGACATGGATGCCTTCGCCAATATCGTGGCACTGGAAAGAACCCATCCCAAAATACCCGCCCGTCTTCCTCCAAAATCGAACGTATGGTCATTCATTACAGCTGTATTCGGACCAACTTCCAGTCTAAAAACAACGAAGATGACCACATGTCCTATTCCAGGAAAGACGGTAGACAAACAGTTACGCTTGCAATTCGACAGACTCAGCGCATTCTCGAGAGACTGACGAAACCAAATCCCCTTTACAATCATCACTTCGTGAAGTCATTCGCAGCCACAGCACCAACCAACCAAAGCCGCCCTTGAACATTAAATTCACGTACGACCTGACCTGGCCGCACTCTCAAACTCTCTCTGGTTCAATTCAACCACTCACACACCTCACACTTCCTTCATGTTTCACTTTCCAATATCTCTCTCTGGTTCCACTCAACCACTCACATTTCCTTGATGTTTCAATTTCCAGTATCTTCAGCGCATAATTTGTTCATTCTATAAACGCTCAGTCCATAAACATACTCGCCACTGTGATTAAGCTTTCGCTTTCATTCACTCGATCCCGATCACTCGATTAGCTGATCAAGATCCCGACCACCGTCGTTCCGCCTTCGCCAGCCACCATACGATTCTCTCTCTCCTCATCTTTCTCCTCTCTCTCAAACCGCATGCAATGTCTCGACCACGCAAACCAGCTTCGTCTTTCGAACAACCTTCCCCCCCCCCCCCYCCTCCGCCACTACATTCTGGGGGGGGCAAGCCTTGCACTCTGAACAAGGACCACCACGGAGCTGCGATCATCAAGATCCCGACCACTGTCAGTCCGCCATCGCGAGCCCCGTCATACGATTCTCTCTCCCCAGATTTCTCCTCTTAAACCGCATGCGATGCCTCGACCAGGCAGACCAGCTTCGCCTTTCGAACAACTAACCCCCACCACTACATCCTGTAAATGTGTCTACAGGCGGCAAGCCTTTCACTCTGAACAAGGACCAATACTCAAGATCCCGACCACTGTCGTTCCGTCATGGCAAGCCGCCAAACTCTGAACAAGTACCAATACTCGAGATCTCACCATATTTCTCATTGTTTAAACCGCGCATGCGATGTATCGTGGAGGAAGAGCCCAGGTTCGCCTTCCTAGCAACGAAACGAACCCAGTACATTCTGCAAACGAATCTACGGCGACAAGACTTTTCAATCTGAACAAGGACCAAGGAGCTGCGATCGTCGCCAGCACGGCAAGCCTTGAGATAGATCGATAAAGCTTACCGCAAGGCACACACCAACCAATCACACTCTGGCTTTCATTCGGCCAATCAATCGGCCTCCTGATCGAGCAAGCTAGCGACTGGACTGACATGCACCAACTTCAACCTTCATCCTACACAAAGGAGCACTGTTTCAAGGCAGATCAGAGCCCTCCACAACTCTCCTTCTTCTCTGCCATATCGCCCCCCGCAGTCGTGCAAGCCACCAACACATTCGATGAATTACGATGCTAAGCAAGCCGCTCACCTCAAATGAGTAGAACACCTCAAATGCGAAGCACCTCGAACGACATAAACCTCAAGCAGATGTTGACGAAGATAGCGATGGAGGGAGAGTAGGGTGAAGAAGGGGGGAAGAGAAAAATGTGTGGGCAGAAAAAGGAGAATCAATCGTTGTAATAGAGCTCATAAAAAGAAAAAGAATGGGGAAGAAAATAGGATGGAAAACAGGGAATGGGAGGGATCAGAATGAGCTGAAGGAAGGCAGGGACTCGCGTTTACCTTTGTTGCGCGCCATGGCACTCTGATGAGCCATTTTCCTCTCTCTCGCTGTCTTAGCCTTCTGCGCGTTTCCACCCCCCATGATCTAAAAAATGCTTCTTGACTGACTAGACAACGACTTCTCTGTTGTTCTCGGATACTTGCTACCCCCTTATAACTATCCCACTAGATGAATACGACTGCTAGCGTAGGCATCTACTCCCTAAACGGTTAGAGAGCACAACAACTAACCAAGCAGAAGGGCATTTTATTCACCTTCTACCCAATCTCTCTCTCTCTCTCTCTCTCTCTCTCTCTCTCTCTCT